TTAACAGGTGGATGGGCTTTTTTAATAGTCTTCGCTCAGTCTAACTTTTGTTTTCATCCCTATCTTCATGGCAGTTTTTTTGTGGACATCCACTCGTAGCGTATAGTACCTAATTTCTTAGATGGTACGCTACTTTTATTTCAAATATGCCCAGAAAACTATGGACCGTGAGTATAACCAAAATCTATTGTCATACCTACTCCAAGTATTGGAAAAGCACTTATCTTGTCCAACTGTCAAACGAGAGCAATATTAGTGGCATTTTCATTTTGTAGGAGTTATGCGTAAAGGATCATACTGTATAGGTACGTTTGTTTATAAAATGTAGTCCAAAATATTTTGTCGATAATTGGCGTTATCATTGTGTTGATGGGTGCAGCAAAACAGTATTGCGACTTAAACAATTTTTACTATTACTTAAGGTTAGGTAATCGTGTGCTAATCATTTCGTTTCGCAAGTATTACGCAAATAGTGCTAAAATTATGAAATTATTGTGGAAACAAGTGCATGTCTACAACTGGAAGATGATGTCGCGTGGTTGTCTACTCATCTACTGGATCCAGCAATAACAGGGTCAATGGCTGATTGACAATTAGTTATTCCTTCAAGGTCGACAATGACGTCAACAGATTGCCCTCCATTACATTTTCGCTACTCTTTATCGCGACTTTGTTCAAATCTTAGTATTAATAACCTTAATTTGCATACTCATAGTGGCACGTTGTATTTTTTTCAAATCGATTTCATTTCGCTCGCCAACTCCAGGTCAATGACAGTGCAAATAAATAAGTACCCATTTGCTTGTTCGCGCCTTAATATTTTTACAACATTGACAAATTCTAAGAATAAAGAGACTAGAAAACATACTAAAACGATTAGATAACATAAGTCAATAATAATTGCTACGCAAAAGTACGAACAAAGGTTTCGCTTAAAAGGATAATTAAAACGAAGGATATTTTCTAATATTGTATCTACAGCAGCACGTCATCCTAATTTTTACTAATATAAGTATTAAATACTGAGGTAAACGACAGTGATCCGAACACGAATTAGCAAATTGGAGAAGACGCTCGAAATAACTGAAGGTGACTTGCATCGTCCACCAAATATTTAAGCAATTCCTCGATTTAACTTTTTCATTCAATGGTTCACGAACTTTGGATGCATTAAAAAATAAGCTAATTTTAATTTTTGTGCGGTAGGTTACGAAATTAGAACGAACGTTTTCAGTGTATTTTTTTGGCAGTGGGATAGTTCAAAACGTGTCATAGTCTTAGGGCATGCTACTGTTCGGAATGAAAATATTTATTTCACTGAATAATTTCAATTAGAGAATTAATACGTTCAACTATACACGTGGAAGTGCTCCACATGCACACCGAAGAGATGAGTGCCAAGTTATCAAAGGACATACGAGTAGTGCGTTGTTTACATGGATATTGCGACTCTCATTAATGACTACTTGACTAACAAAACGTTGGGCCGTAGGTTCAGTGCTTTTACTAAAATGTAAATGGCGTCGTTGTCTCAGGTCAGTTTGAAGATTAACCGGAACCAAACATTCAGCTTCTGCTCCAAAATTTGACCACCAACCACAAATTACTTTTACTTCAAAAGCCACTTCAAAGTGGAGATTAAGTGCATTTATATAAAATGAGAACATACTTGCAGTCCACTTCCACAAGAGGACAGAAATTTGGGCACTTATCACGCCGTTTGCAAACAATGTTGGTGTTGTATATTACACAAACTGGACATCAATTTTTCTGGCTTAACCTCGACAACAGATAATAATTCGGAGAAAGAAAAACTGTATATGGAATATAGAATCATACTCAAAACCTAACTTGTATTATTAGTAAATAGTAAGCATTGGCGATTTAGGATGACCCAAAATATAGTGCGATCTGTTTGTGTGCAGCAAAAGGTCAGAATCAAATTAATCAATACGCAATTACAAAAAATTGATTTATGGCATTTTTCATAGACAAGTGGCAAGTATGCGGGATAGCTGAGGAACCTGAGGAGTCAAAGATATCGTATAAAGGGAAGGAAATTCAAAGGAATTTAAAGAAAATAAGCCGCGAATGCGTTATTGAAAACTGGCAAAACACAACATAGATATAGATGTAATACCATTTTGTTACTAGGTTTAATAATTTTGATAGCTAAAACAACGCTTTAAAATGTAAGACATACAGCTGCATGCGGGATTTGTAAACACTATTTAACGGTTCTAGAGCGCCATAACGTTAACACCCCTAGTTGTTCCGTATTTCAAATTAATGGGACTATAATTTCAAATTAATTACAGACTAATTTGAATCTAGAAAATTATAATTAGTACCTGCGTAGTTTAGTCGGAAAACCGAATTCTAAAGTACCGGTGTTATCTGGAACTCAAAAAAAGGTTGCAATAGACGAAACGTTATGTAATAGTATGTCTTTATAAAAATTTATAATTTTGAATCGAACGAACAAGTGCCCACCACTCATTCCATGAGATTGTTTGATATGATGTCGTTTATTGTGGATTATTTCGATTTTTAAATTTAATAATTGGTGATTTTAGCGCCCCCTTTGGAGTCCAGGGTACGCGCCCTGCCTGCCCCACCCTAGATACATCTCTGTGTGCTCTCAAAGGAGAGCACATACTACAAAAAATGCAGCACTCTCAATTAACGAATCATTATGTAAATTAAAGTATTTAAATTTAAACAATGGTAAAAGTGAGTTAAAAAAAAATTATAGTTGTTAAAAAGGGTAGAGGCTATAATTTTATGTGCTTTTCCGTGTACTACAACAATAGATACAATAGATGAATCGCTATGTAAAATGTAGATTATTTATTGATTGATTTATCTTGATAAACATTAACCAAACATCTTTAATTTTTCAATTTTGGATAATAATCTGATACCTGCCGTCCCTGCTACTTCATCAGGGTTTATGGGCGTGACTCACTCTCACAATTCCAAAGTGAAGTTAATAGTGAATTAAAAACTTGGTAATTTGTACCCAAGTTGGTTTTGGGATTGTTGAAATAATCATTGTTGAATTGTTTAAACGAATTATTAATAATCCATGTAAATTTTAGATTAAATCTGAAAACGTCACATATAATCGAGCACTAGTAGACAAATGTTACTACAGTGGAGCGCAGTGCTTCCCCAACTTCTTCCCATGGCGCCACATTTCTGAAAAGTAAAATTACTCACGCCCCCCCTTTTCCGATTAAAAAAATAAAAACTACTTTTACTACAAAAAACGTAATAATAATAATAAATAATAATAATAATAATAATAATAATACCCCCCCAAGGGAAGCACCTTGTCGTGGTGGGGGGGCTCAGTAGCCACTGTTGCCAGCAGTGGTGAAGCGAAGCTGTCCCAGGTGGTTTGTATTGTCTTCTTTGGTAGTTCTAGTCTTTTGTCTTTGTTTCGTGTCAAAAAAAAAATTAGAAATCACAAAAAAAGGCCTTGGCCCGCTGGCAGTAGCGATAAAATGCAATTGTTGACGACACGCTATGAACAATTTCTCGAGCCCTTCGGGGCGCCCACATCTTACTGCTCAGGGGTTCGGATTGTCCCCAGAGCCGGCAGGGAGCGAGGCGGAGCGGGCAGGCCTCACCCGGTCGATATCAAGCGGCTGCTCGGCGTCCGTGGTAGGGAACCAGATCACGGCGCAAGTAAATGCTGCTGGAACGTTTGACGACCCACGCTATGTTTCTACTGGACACTCTAAAGGCTATGGCGGCACAATTACGATTGGCGCGGAGGTGGAGGATTTTCCTTCATTGCCGCGAAATATTGGTACCAGTGAGACGGAGGACTCTGTGCCCCGGTTCCTGGTACTTAAAAGGAAGGAAGGTGATTTTACGAACGTAAGTCCCTTCCTAATAAATAAGGCTTTGTATGGTCTATTGGGTGAAGTCAAAACTATTAAAAAAGTGAAAGGTGATATTCTCGTAGAAACCCGAACCAGTAAACAGTCTAAGCACTTTATGAAAACGACACGGTTAGGAGATTTCGAAGTTAAAGTAGAACCGCATACAGCTTTGAATACATCAAAAGGGGTTGTGTATTGTAGGGATTTGTTAAATTGCTCCATTGAGGAGATAATAGAGAATTTACGAAACCAGGGTGTGATTGACATTAGGCGGATAAGGACGAAACGTGACGGAGAGTTTCACGACACTCCCAATCATGTTCTTACATTTAATTTTCCGCGTCTGCCAAAATCCATAATGGCTGCATTTTATCCATTGCAAGTACGTCCCTACATACCGAACCCCTTAAGATGCTTTAATTGTCAACGTTTTGGACACTCCGCCACGAATTGCAAGCAGGAGAAGAGGTGCGTGTGTGGCAAAGCACCACACGAGGGTTCTCAGTGTGAAATTCCTGTCGAGTGCCCGAATTGTAATGGTCCTCATAAGGCAATCGCGAAATCCTGCAAAATTTACAAGCATGAGATGAAAATACAGGAAGTAAAGGTGCTGCACAAGTTGTCGTATCCTGAGGCGAAAAAGAAGGTTGATTCCTTTGTTGTTCCGAGTGTACCTTTCGCGCAGGTAACCGCTACGCCACTGTCAAATCAGTCCACCGTACCTGAAATCAGGAAAATAATACAGGAAGAAATGCAAAGCTTTATGAAAGTACTTACCACGAAAATTGAACGTTCTCAAACCATATCTGGAACAACTCAACTGAAACCAGCCTCGCAACTAAGCGAGACAGTTGCACTGTTGTCAGAGCCGTCTGAAGTTGAGCCCATGGACGCGGAAACGCGTGGTTCAAAACGTAGGACGTCAGTAACCAGAACGAGGTCCTCCAGCATTACCTCCGTCGATTCGGAGACGGTGCAGGAGGCCAAGCATCAAAAGAAAAAGAAGGGTTGGCCGAAGGGCAAGCCCCGCATTCCTCGAAAAACGGCGGGAAACCCGCAAATTTTTAGTAATTAGTCTGTGATTACACCTGTGATATACATATATGCTTTGTTTGTCTATCATTTGTTTATGTAAAAGTGTACATATATTTATTGTGAATGTCCTCATATACACCGTTATTTTATTGTTATTTATATTTATATGTTGCTTATTCAATTGTGATTGTCATTTAATGGATACAACAAAAATTGTCCAATGGAACTGTCGAGGACTCTCCAACAATTTAAATGAGCTGAAACTGCTAATTCAAAAGCATAATCCTTGGTGTATTGCTCTTCAAGAAACGCACCTGGTACCTAGAACAAAATACAGTATTAAAGGGTATAATCTGATAAGAAAGGATTTTTACTCACCAGCAAGAGCCTGTGGAGGGGTGGCCTTCCTCATCCGACAAGGCATACCTTATAAACGGGTTAAACCAGATACGCCTTATCAAGCTGTAGCGGTACAACTTGAAATTAGCAGTTCTCTTACACTGTGTAATATTTACGTTCCCAATAATACTTATGATGTCCAAGAGATTGGTAAAATCGTAGATCAGCTTCAGGCACCTTTTATTCTAGTTGGGGATTTTAACTCTCACAGCACCGTTTGGGGCTCCCGCTCAGACGATGCTCGTGGCAGGGAGTTGTTGGATCTGATCGAGGATAAAAATTTAAGCTTGTTGAATGATGATTCAGCTACGTTCTTTAATGTGAGATCCGGTACTTTCGATTCCATCGATATATCGGTATGTTCACCGGCGATACATGCAAGCGTAAAATGGGAAGTGGAAAGTGATCTGCATCATAGCGACCATTTTCCCATAATTATTACCCTGCAAGGCAGGAACACTCCTGTGAGAACGATAGCCAAATTTAAAATGCAACAAGCAAATTGGGAACTTTTCACACGGCTGCTCGTCCCGCCAAGCCAGGTAAATCTCCATACGCTAACCTCATCTATTTTAAATGCCGCCGAGGCCAGCATTCCAAGATCTAAACCTGGCAATATAAGGAAGATGGTTCCGTGGTGGTCACCTGAAATAAAAGAAAAAATTTTATTAAAGAAAAGAGCATTAAATAGGTTCCGTCGCCATCCTAAAATGGAGAATTTAATCGAATTTAAAAAACGAAGATCCGAGTGTCGCCGGCGGATATTAGAGGCACAAAGAAACTCATGGCAAAGATACGTTTCCACCATCACACCGGAGACAACCACTGGCGAAGTCTGGAAGAAGGTAGGAGCAATATCCGGTAAAATCGGTTGCGCTTATCCCAGATTTCTGCGTAACTCAGATGGGGTAGTTACCAACAACCTGCAGGAAATAAGTAACATTATTGCGGATCAATTCTATAAAGTTAGCAGTTCACTCAATTATCCTCGTACTTTTCTAGAGGCTAAAATCGAGAAAGAATTGACACCTATAAACTTTGATACCGATGAAACTCTAGATGATAACCTACCTTTTAACCTAGAAGATCTAGATGAAGCAATCCGTAACACCAAGTCATGTTCACCGGGAGGAGATGGTATCCATAACCAGATGCTTCGTCACTGTAGTGCTGAAATGAAAGAGATCATCTTAAAATTCTTTAATACCTGCTGGATCGAATCAACTTACCCTTCTGAATGGAAACAGGCAGTTGTAGTCCCTATACCGAAGCCGGGAAAAGACCCGCTGTTAGCACAACACTACCGTCCAATAAGTTTGACCTCTTGTCTAGGCAAACTGTTGGAAAAGATGGTAAACGGGAGGTTGCAAACGTTCCTCGAACGTAACAATATATACGTCCCATATCAAACCGGTTTTCGGAAGGGACGATCAACTATTGACCATCTGGTCAAGTTGAGCGATCGTATTCTGAATACGTTCGACAGTGGCGAGCACCTGGTTGGGGTCTTCTTTGACATCAAGGGTGCATACGACATGACTTGGAGGTATGGTATACTACAAAATATGTTCAAATATAATCTACGAGGGAATCTGCCAAAGTTTATACAATCTTTTGTGGAAAATAGGAAATTTGTCGTACGAGTTGGCGACGCTTATTCAAACGAGCACGTTTTAGAGAATGGGGTGCCGCAGGGCTCCACACTTAGCTGTTCCCTGTTTGGCATTGCCATCAACGAGATAGCTCGAGGTGTTGCTGACGAAATCGGAAAATGTTTATACGTCGACGACCTGACGATTTTTTGTGCAGATAAGACCGTCGGTATTATAACACGTAAATTACAAGTGGCGATAAATCAAATATGTAATAATGCCAACGTTGTTGGGTTTGTGTTATCAGAGGAGAAAACGAAGGTTGCACATTTTTGTCGACTTCGCAAACCCCATTATGACCCGGTTTTATTTATGAATGACCGCATAATAAGCGTGGTCCAAGAGGTCAAGTTCCTGGGTCTAACGTTCGATAGAGAGCTACGCTGGTCCGCGCATATACAGAACGTTGCTACTACATGTAGAAAGTCCCTGAATGTCATCCGAGTCTTAGCTCACCACAAGTGGGGAGCGCATCCCAAGACGCTGCTAGACCTATATAAAGGTCTCATACTATCAAGGATCGACTACGGATGTTCTGTGTATTCTACATGTAGTAGTAATACGTTGCTTGGCAAGCTGGACAGAATACAGAATCTTGCCATAAGATACTCCCTTGGAGCCTTTCCGACCAGTCCCGTCGAGTCACTATACGTTGAGGCAAACATTCTTCCTCTAGCTCTTCGAAGAAAGCAGATCGTGGTAAATTATTACCTCAAAGTGTCGATGGATGGTAATCATCCGAATTACCATCTGTTAAGAGACGTAACCACGCGCGCCCGTCTGTATAGATGTAGGTCCTTAGGAGAAAGAGCTAGAGAGGAGTTTGCATATCTACAACTGGAATATGCCGACATTGTAGACATGACTATGCAGCACGACGTGGGGTTGTGAAAGCGCGTGTGTATGAACGCTGGAATGGACAGTGGGCGGAGTCTGATGCCTTTCTGAAAAGGGTCAAAGCTGAAATAGGGCCTTTGTTTCCTTTAGGCATGACTCGTCTGGCCTTAACGAGACTATTCAGACTTCGACTCGGTCACAGTGCTCTGACCCACGGATTTCTGTTGGCGGGTGATGATCGGCCACAATGTGACCACTGTGGAGTGGATTTATCTTTGGAACACATACTATGCGTTTGCCCGGAATATAGGAATGCGCGAGATTTTAACAAAATAAGTGATACTTGGGCGGAAAATCTTAATACCAATGACAAATGCCTAAATACTCTACGTTTTATTAGTAGCATTGGTTTTAATGATAAACTGTAATATTTATATTATGTTGACGGTTTGTTTTGTGTGTAATTGAAAGGCAAATGGCCTTAGAAGCCGAGCCTAAGGTGGGGTTTTAGTGGGTATACCTGATAGGAGAGCCCCACACTACTCCGGAAATTTTCCCTCCGGAGTGTGCTTAAGGAGCATTTCCCCACCTACCAAAAAAAAAAAAA